TTATCCAAACGATTGGACCCCATCAGCAGCTTGGTAGGAGAAAGATGAGGCAGTCTGCTTCTGTAAAGATCTACAGCCTTGGAAACTTTACGGGGAAGTTCTACTCTGTCCTGTAGGATCCCTATGAGGCGGGATTGACTTGTTTTTTTTTTTTTTTTTAATTCTTTTTGGGGTGGAGGTGGTGGAGCAGGTATCCACTATACTCTCAAGGACCTTAAAAACAGCAACTTTGTTTCTAAAGCATCTTGCAAGTAACAGACAATAAGTGAATATTTATTGAATGAATGAATGATTTACTTGTATCTTTTTTATTGTTGTTTTGTTTAATCTCCCTCCCCAGTAGACTTTAAATACCCTGATGATTGAATTATGCCTGTTTATCTCACCAATGTATATCCATCCCTTAGTAGTATCTGGTGTGTAGTAGGCACTCAATGAATAAGTAAAGAATTTAAGGACTGGGGCCAAGACTGAACAGGAACTTACCCTGACTACCCACAGGCCTCCTCAGAAATACTCTGTGGTTTTAATGGCAGAATTTTAATGGCAGAATGAAAAGAGTTAAGATAGGCACACAGCCATGAAGATCTTAAATCATGTTGATAATTCTTTAAAGGCCCAGCCTGGACCTTGAAAAAGCTTGCTTCCTAGAAAAGACCTAAGAAACCAGGTGCTAACTTCTGGGTTTCTTGTTTTCCAACTACATCTTTCATATTCTGGAAATAAACCAGACTCACTAAAACCGAAACACTGCCATAGTGACTCACCCCCATTGAGTTTCTGAGGTGGTAAATCTTTACAGAAGTAGATTGCACCATCTTCCTTCTGCAGAGTGACTTGTAGGGTTGAACGGCCAACCTTCTGGTTAGCAGTCAAATGCTTTAGGCACTGTACCACCAGAGCACCTTTCTGGAAGTATTAAATCTTTATTTCAATTCACACCTCTGTTTTGGTTTGCTTAAAATCTTTGCCATGAAGATTCCAGATGAATTAGTTTATGGTGTCAAAGGGCCCCAGACAACAAGAAATAATTGGGTTTTAGCATAAAATCTCCTTCTAACAAGTGATATGGCCTTAAAATATCTCCTATCATCTCTTGTTTTTGTGATTTTCTTTTGTAAAAGAACCAGCAGCTCTCAAATTGTGTCCAGATCCTGTGAGGTTCCCTTGAGGGTTGCCTTACTTTCTTAGGGCTGCCACAATAAAATACTACAAAGAGAGTGACTTCAAAAACAGGAATTTATTGACTCACAGTTCTGGAGACTAGACATCCAAAATAGGGATGGTCATGACTGTAGAAATTCCTTCCAGTAGTTTCTGGTGGCTGCCAGCAATACTCAGTGCTCCTTTGCTGCTTATAGATCCTTCTGCCTCTTTAATTACATGTCATCTGTCTTCCTCCTATATGTCTTCCTATCCCTGTCTCTGTTCTCCCCTTTTATAAAACACCAATAGGAAGGGATTGGGATTAGGAACCATGTTATTCCAGTATAATTTAATTGAAAGATCTTCAAAGAAAATACTATTTCCTCAAGGAAGTCACATTCACAGGTACAGGGAGTAGGACTTCAGATCTTTTAGGGGTGGGAGACAAAATTCAATTGATAACAGGGGCTTTGTCAAATTATCTTCTTTCCTATTTCTTCCTTGTGCTCCTGCTTTTTAATCACTACTTCAGTGATCTACTTTTACTGAAGGGAAAAATAACAGTCGAGGACCACTGGCCCACGTTATCTATACCATACTTACCCGGGCCAAACTTTTGTAAATCTATAAACTGTGCCTCAATTCACTACTAAAATCATCTATTTTAACATTCCCTACATTACAGACAGTCCTTAGTTCACTTACTACCTTCCATTACTTTCTGACCACCTACTGCACTTCAGGAACTGTGACAAGCTCTGAAAATATTTTAAATTTTGAAATCATCTCTTCACTTTTTGTGCTTACTTAATGGGGTGGCAAGGACAACATGTCTTTTATGGGGCCAAAGTAGAGGGTGTCTTGAGAACACATCAAAGAGCACCAAAGCAACCTAGTAGAATATATGATCTATTAAACCTCCAAGTAGGTGATAAAATACTGAGTCCTAATTTTAATTAATCAACTTAGAGACTGGTCAAATCATAATGTTAATATCTACTGATCCAAGCCTTGTATGTGTCACAGAGGCAAACTTATGCCCGGAAAGTTATCCAAAATGGGTAACCGAGGTTCATCTTTGATCTAGTTAGCTATTATTAGATTTTGTTGTTGCTGTTTTAATAAGCATTTTTAAAAAAATACTTTTACCTCTGGAGCCAATTTTGCAGACCCTCTTGTAAGTTTAAAGATGGAAATAATTGATTAGTCGTATTTTAAGGAGGCAGAAAGAAAAAAAATATTTTTATATATTGACATCATGTTTGGTGATGATGCCAGTAACCCTTCCTCCATAAATTACACACTTTGTATGAGCTGCTGGAGAATTTATTCAGAATCATGCTCAGTCTAACCCAGCTTGCTTCCTGAGCCACTGCATGGACCTAATGTAGAAGGACTACAGTCTGCATGTGAAAAAAAGCAGAACTTTAAGAATAGATCTAGATTAGTTTCATTAGTATCTTCTCTCAACAATTGAATGAAGCATCTAAGGAGGGACTAAGGTAGAAATAAAAAGTGATTTTTTTTTTTTTTCTCCGATGGCATAGTGCCTAAGGCATTTGACTGCTAACCAGAAGGCTGGCGGTTGAAATCCACCAGCCACTCCTCGGAAGGAAAACTGGGCAATCTGCTTCCATAGTGATACTGCTTTGGAAACCCAAGGAGGGGTCCGGAGCCCACTTGAGGGCAGTGGGTTATTTTTGGCTGTTACAAATGGTTAAGTCCTGCATTACTAGTGGAAACACTGGTGTTTGGAGCTCAACCAGAGGCACTTCAGAAGACAGTGCTAGCAATCTGCTTCTGAAAGACGCAGCCTTGCAAACCCTATGGGGCACACTGGGAAGCACCATGACAGAATCCACCGGTGAGAGCAGCAAAACAAGAGCAACCCCACTGATGTTACATACAATTGCTCAGGGATACAAGATTTCACTCCTCACATAGTCATTTTATTTTACTTGGCATTCTTAAAGATTGTAATTTAGTAATGGGAAACTGTAAGAGTTCATCACTCTAAAACCGAAATACTTGAGAAATCCTTAATTTCGAATAGCTTGCCATCTGTTTATTTCTTACTGGTAATGGGTTTATCCTGCTTAGTGCAGATGATGATCCAAAACCCACAGCCCGCCCAGTCCATTCGGACTCACAGTTACCCTGTAGGACGGAATAGAACTGCCTTATTGGGTTTCCAAGGCTGTAAATCTTAACGGAATCAGACAGCTCACGCAGAGCGCGCAGAGCAGCTAAGGAGTTCCAAACTCAGTCCTGCAGACCTTTCTGTTAGCAAGCAAGCACTTTAACCACTGCGCCACCTGAGCTCCTTCAGATGATAATACTGCTTGTGGAATCATAGATTATACAATGGACTTCTGAGCTCTTTACTGTTGCTAATTTACTGGTTTGTAACCCCAAATTTTCCAATATAATTTTTTTTTTTTCAACTCTTACTCCAAGTAAGGTTGCCATGGGCACCACATGACATCTGTTCTGGCGCCAACAGTTGCGTTAAAGGCACCCACAATTTCTCCTAATTAATAATTTCAAACTGAATTCTTTGGTTTTTCACTGCACTCTCAGCAGGATGCTCTTTGCCTTGCCCTACTGTCCAGTTTAATTCGCTAGAAAGAATATTTTTAGAGGCACATAGGACAAAATCGTTTTCCACTGAGCACATTACTTCCAAATGGCCGCCCAGGGTCCTAAATCCGGCCTCGATAGACTAGGAACAGGGGTACCCTCGATTGCAGAAGGGTGAGACTCAGACGCCTTCGTAAACAGGACGTCTAAGCCAGAAAGAAAACCCGAATGGGCACACAGGACAGGTATAAACCCGCACCTTTGCACCAGAGAGGCCCCGGGTCGGAGCCTAGGACTCCATTCCTAGGTTTGGGGCGGTCCTGGGAGGGAAGGAAACACTGCTTCCCCATTCAAGTCAGAGAGAGCAGGACGCCCAAGGTTGCGGGTCAGAAGTTGAATCTTAACCCAGCCTGCGCTAGGATGCAGCACCTTTGCACCCGGAGCACCGCGGTAACATCGGGCTAGAAGAGAACGAGGCTGGCTGGGGTGGAAGAAACTGCTAGTTGCCACCGCAGAATCGCTGCTGGCAGAGGGGCAGAAGCCACCTCCGGCGCCCTTCGGAGCGCGAACCCAGGAGCTCGAACCTGGGGTGAGCTGGTGCCATGCTGCTGCCATGCTGCGCCCCCGGCCCGTGCCTGGTCCGCGCTCCGCGTTGCCCTTTCGGCAGAAAGCAGCTCCCGCTGCGGCAGCCCAGGCTCCGCGCGTCTCAACACAGGCCACCCCCAGGATGCACCCGGTTCGCCCTCAGGTGGCAGCCTGGGCTCCCGCAGCCAGACCGACCATAGTCTCCAGCACCCGGACAAACTTCCTTCTCCTGGGGTCCCGGCTGGGCTGGCTGGCTGACGGCTCCCTAACCTGTCTTCTTTGGTCTCCGGCTGCAGGCGCCCTCGCCAGGCACGAAAAGCTTCGTTTCTGCCCCTTTCCAACCCTAACACCCAGGCGCCCAGCTGTCCGCGAGCATCCGCTCCAACAAAGCCCGCGACTCGGAGGGCTGCTGGGAGAGGGCGAGGGGCGGGAGTGTCTACCGGTGCGCCGGAGCCAAGAGAAGACAACCCTAGTTCGGTCGAGTGCTGCGATCAGGGGCAGCGGGGACGTGGCAGGGAGAAAGGGAAAGAAAGTGTCCTGTTCTCGGCGCGAACGCCTTCTTGGCTTTTCCTCAGTAGCCCACCTCCCTCCCCCAGCCAGAGCGCATCCAGCTGCCCCGGTGGGAGTTGGCCGGGACAGAGGCGAGGCAGCGGGGACGCAGTGGCCCGGCGGAGGAGCTGCTCCCTTACCTCTGTCCAGAGTGAGCGGCTGGACCACTGTCAATGTCGCCATGTCTGCTGTGGGAGCCGAAGTGACGCTCGGCTTCAGCATCGGCAACCGCTTGTAGTGAGAAAAAGAGGAGGAGATTGGTGGCGGGGGTGGAGAGGAAAGGCGGAAAGGAGAGGGAGGAGGGGAAGGGAGGGAGAGAAGGTGGTGGTGGTGGAGGAGAAGAAAGCTTGAGGGGGTTGGCAGCTAGATGGAGACGCCACTGTTCGGCGTCGGGCAGACCTTCAGACGCGGCGCGAAGCAGAGCAGGTATCAGAGAGCAGCTGCATCGCCAGGCTCTGAGCAGGAAGGCTGTGCCCTAGAACTTTGCTATTCCACCCACAGGAGCGCAGGATGGGTGTAAATGGCGTGCTGCTTTCTTTCAACTTTCTAGTCAAATGAAATGGTCAGAGTAGCGCTGGGGAAGGGGGCGGTGATGGGAAGGGGTTATGGAGGGGGCGGGGAGATGAGTTTTTTTCAGATTAAGATAAACTGTCGACTGAATAATCCCTCTTCTTCAGAGAGAAAGTGTTTCTAACGTCAGAAACGTTGGGATTTAATTATGGCTGCTGTTAATTTCTGTTAAGTGTTTTGGAATGTTGATTTACGACAAGATAACTGACTTAAGGCTAGGGTTCCATCAGTAGGTGCCCTAAATAGACTGCCCAGAAAATAATTGATCTTAAAGCAAACTTCCTAAAAATGTTTACAGATTAAAATGAAGGATGGGGAGGGGGGAGAGTAGTTTCCATAACTAACTGAGAAAAATATGTACCTAGCACTTTTCACTTTGATCTTTACTCATGGATGCTCAGAGCTGTCATTTACTGATTAACATGTATTGCAAGCTAGGAGTGTTACAGGCCATGTGCCATGCAGTGCCTTTGGGGTATAGTACAATCCATGCCTTTGTGTAGTCTGTGATCTAGCAGAGATAATGTTTTTAAAAGAATGACTTTAGGGTCAGTTGGTCAGGATTTAATTACTAGAATATCTGAATACTATTTTGTGACACATTCTCTCCTACAGACTTATTGCACTATGTTGCCAAGGCAGGGGATTCATATCCTGGAAAGATCAAGAAATTAAACACAGAAACTCAAAACTCACTGCCATCAAGTCAGATCCGACTTATAGTGACCCCTCCGTGGATTTCCGAGGTGGTATCACTACAGAAGTAGATTACATGGCCTTCCTTCTGGTGGGTTTGAACCGCTAGCCTTCTGGTTACCAGTCAAATGCCTTAGGCAATATGCCACCAGAACTCCCAAGAAGCATAGAGAAACCTTGAATAAGCAGAAGATGATGGCTTGCTGCAGGATTAGAAATTACAAAGATGTCTCCATCCTTTCTGTTGTGTCAGAGCAGAGCTGTTTTGACTAGCAGTACACTCTTAAAGGCAAACACTATCTTGCAATAAAATATTGGCATGTAATCTATGCCATTTTCTTCTGATTACAATATGGATGAGTTTAGAAGATCTTTTCCATCATATGGTCGACACTTGAAAGAAAAATAAGATTTTATCACTGATTAAGAAAGTCAAAGATAATCTAACATCTAACAGACTCTAAAGGCACACTTAAAGTACTAGCGCAATATGCCTATAATTTCATTGAGTGTTGTAGAAAGTACCATGATCTTGAAATTCAAGTTTTAGTTATTTGCTCTTCAGAAACCATAGAAGTCATCTCTCACTGATCCCCAGTTTCCTCACCTGTAAAACAAGGGAAAGGATAGCTTTCAGTCTCACTAAGATTCTGTAATATGAGGGAAATAGTTCTACTCTACAATCACACTGAGTTGTGTGAAAATTTAATAAAATCATACACATCAAAGCACTCTGAAAAGAATATATACAAATTTATTCATACAGCAAATATACATCCCTCCTGAACTGTTGTTGGCAGGCATTGTGCTGGGTGCTAAGCATCCAAAGATTAATGAGACATGGCCTTCATCCCTGGACAGTGCTTGGGCCAGGTTGGGAGATAAATATGTGACCATACCAAGAACCCCATGCAGTAAGTGCTCTGTTGTTGTTATGTGCTGTCAAGTCAGACCCGACTTACAGAGACCCCTCCTTGGGTGTTCGAGGCAGTATCACTACGGAAGTAGATTGCCCAATCTTCCTTCTGAGGAGTAGCTGGTGGGTACATTCATGATATCATGTCTAGTTGTGGGAATTCAATTCAATATGGTTAGCTTACGTCAACAAAAGTATAGGAAATGAATAATAAACCATTCATCTGCCAGAATTTGTTTCTATGAAGTATTATTATGTGCCAGCAAGTCAATTCTGACTCAAAGCTACCCTATAGGACTGAGTAGAACTGCCCATAGGGTTTCCTAGGCTACAATTTTTATAAAACAAGTCTTTTCTCCCATGAACTATTGGTAAATTCATACTGCTTGCCTTTTGATTGGGAGCTCCATTGGCATAGTGTCTAAGGCATTTGACTGCTAGCCAGAACCACCAGCCACTCCTCAGAAGGAAGATTGAGCAATCTACTTCTGTAGTGATACTCCAGGACTCCTATATGTAGTATGAATAACTAAATACTGTCTGTCCAATAACTGTTAAAACACCTTCAATTAAACTTTTATCTTAGCTATTTGTAGATCCCTATTTGAGGTTTGGGAGTTCTGGGAGCTCTGGTGGCATAGTGCCTAAGGCATTTGACTGCTAACCAGAAGGCTGGCGGTTCAAACCTACCAGCCACTCCTGGGAAGGAAGGTTGAGCATGGGCAATCTACCTGAGTAGTGATACAGCCTTGGAAACGCAAGGAGGGGTTGCTATGAGTTGGATCCGACTCCATGGCAGTGGCTGCATTTGGGTTACTTGAGGTTTATAAAGATATAAGAAAATTCCCTTAACCTCTTCTTTTGCTTGGATGTCATTATTACTTACTATTGACTCATGGCCACCCTCTGTGTGTCTGAGTACAGCTGTGCTTCACAGTGTTTTCAAGGAGGGGATGGGTTCAAATTGCCAGCCTATTTGCTAACCCTCAAATGCTTACCTGTTTGTGCCAACCAGGGACTCCACCCAAAGTATCATAAATAATCGCCTGGGCCACTCCTGTAATACCAGTGCTTCAACAAGGTCAATATACTTGATCAATTACATTGGAGTTGCTTTATTGATTGTGCATTAATCAGTGAACTGTTAAAACACCTTCAATTATATTTTTATCTTAGCTGCTTGAGTACATCATCACAACACTTTTACTGTTATGTAGTAATTTTGTTCATTGGTAACTATATTTTCAAAGGAATTTAAAGTAATTAAATACTTATTGAGCACTCTCTTTGTGCTGGATTTGGTGCTAGATTGGTCCCTCTATCTCTCTCTTTTCCCAGCCCTAAAAATTAGGTGGTGTTATTTTAGCTTTATAGATAAGTAAACTGAGGCTCAGAAAGGATAAACAACTTGCTTAGCATCACTATGAGTTGGAATTGACTTGATGGTGGTGTTTGTGTGTGTGTGTGTGTGTGTGGCTTAAGAATGATAGTAGCACTTGAATTCAAGAGCTTTTGTGCTTTCCACTGAGAAACACCACCCTTCGTTCTGTATTGTTGAAGAGTTAGTCATCTCAGCCCTGTTTCAGAGTTTCAGATATATACATGAACTTTCTCCTTTCTCTTTGTGCTTGAGATATACTCAGAGAGAGGAATGCATGGAGGAAAGTGAGTTCAAAGGAGAAAAGAATTGTGATATTGGTTCTATTCTATATAAATATTGTTGTTGTTGTATGTGCCATTGAATAGACCTGACTCATAGCGACCCCCTTGGGTTTCTGAGGCGGTATCACTACGAAGTAGATTGCCCAACCTTCCTTCCAAGGAGTGGCTGGTGGGTTTGAACCACCAGCCTTCTGGTTAGTAGTCAAGTTCCTTAGGCACCATGCTACCAAAGCTCCTTATATAAATATAGGTTACTATCAAAATAAGTACTGATTTTGAAATACAAAAATCTGTTCTTTTTGGAAAATTCATTCAAAGTTGTGTTAAGGTTTGTTTCACTTAAATGAATCTTTTTAAATTACATGACAAAATCAAGAGTAGGTTTGCATAAAACCTTAGCATACCTAGAAAATGTGTTTAGTTGGATTATAAATGGAGTTTAATAAGCACAGCTTCATATGAGAAAATAGCACCTTAAAACTGGAATTCTTTCAGCCTTGGGTGTTAGAAATTATTTTGGACTGATTCAAGCTATCACATTATCTTCCTTAATTTGCACAACTTTGTCAAAATAGCGCTAGCTTACGATAAAGTCCCAAGCTATTCTTTGAAATATAAATTTTTCTATTTTTTTAAATCATTATAGTGCATCTTACTGTATTTATTTTATCCTCGTATTTGTTTTGATAGGTAATTATTTTTCTGTTCATTCAGTACTTAGTCTGTGTCAGGTACTGTTCTAGGCACTAGGATACAGCAGTGAATGAGAAACAAAGTTCCCTTTTCATTCTGCTTACATTCTAGAGGTGGAAAAAAGACAAGAAATAAACTAATAAACAAGAAAAGGCTAATTAGAGACCAAGTGCTGTCCAAAGGATTAATAATTTGACAAATGAATTGAGTTGAGAATAATGTCAGGATTACAAAAGACAGAGAGAGAGAGAGAGAGAGGGCATTCTAAGGAACAGGAGAACAAAGCCAGGGATAGAAGAATAAGCATGTTTAGATAACAGTCACCAGTTCAGTTTGGAGTATAAGAAAAACAAATCTAAAGAGAACCATTGACAGTCAGGTGTGGAAAGTAATGTAATTAACAGAAGTATACTAACTCTTTTATGAATTACTTTGTGCTTACAATAAAATAAAATGTACAAATACAATCTGGGCTAAAAATAAATTGGTATTATACCATCTACATTAAATTCAGTAACTTCAGAATGAAGTGAAGAGTTGGATGATAAAACATTAAAAATGAAATAAAAATATTAAAAGTCAAAAATGGAAAAGAACTTTAGAGGAGAAAATCTGAAATTGGAATAATCATTTCTCAGTTGCAGGTTCATTTGCAATACTTTACCAGTCATCATGAAAATCGTTAAGTATAATCAACTGTTACTCTTATTTGCCCACAGTCTTTCAGGTTTTCAGATGTCTTTTTATGGTTATTCAACTGACAGAATATAAAATGATTTTTTCCCTTTTCCTATTTTCACAGTTAGAGGTATGAATGATCATTTAAAAATGATATTTAAGCTCAAAATTTACTTTTTTAAAAAATTTTATTTCTGCATGTCAATCT